TTTGATCTGAAAAGCCCATTAAAGGGGTGTTATGGTATATCAGATTAAGCCATTGCCTGTAACAATGGTATTCCTGTTAGGGGGCTAATTCAAGTCCAACCGTTCCATTCCTGGCTTAGAGTTCTGCTCGTGTGCCGGGAAAGGCAACAAAAGATGGCCTAGGTCCTTGGATCACTGCCACCCATGTGGGAGACCCAGGAGAAGCTCCTGGCTCCTGTCTGGTCTAGCACTGACTATGTGGTCATCTGAAGAGTAAAGCAGCGGATGAGATTCTCTCTCCCCTCCCCCCCCCTTTCTCTCTCTCTCTCTCTCTCTCTCTCTCTCTCTCTCCCTCACCTCCCTCTGTGTTACTCTGACTTTTAAATAAATAAAAAATACATTTTAGAAAAACACTTCTGTGAATTAATAGCCCCATGGGATATGAATGTTTAGTCCAGTATCGGAGGAGGGATTGATGATCATTCGAGATTCCTGTCTAACCTCAGCTCGTATTCCAAGATACCCAGATTTTCTAAGAGGTTTAATTGCCACACAAAGCATTCATTTTTGTAAATGTTCATAATAGGATCTGAAAGAGGAACACAGGCAGATTTTAAATCACCAGGATGCTTGTGAGATAAAGGGACTCTAGGAAAGCTACACATCTGTGCTATGTGAAAAGGGAATCCGGTACCCGGATATGGAACTTTGGGAGAGAAGAGAGAATTACGTGTCTCGGATTCTTGAGTTTCGAGGACTGGTCGGTTTACTCTGTGAGTGAGGTCATCTGGTTCCAGAAATGTCTGTGGCAACACCAACAGCGGCTCTGGGTGCCCACGCCTCAGCGTTCCTGGACCGATCAAATGCAAGTTAGCAAAGCTTGCCATGAGTCATCTCCGGTAATGAAGGACCTCTTCAGTGTTGTCATTGAGGTAGGGCAGAAGGAGGAAGAGACTGTGCCTCTGTGTGTGTTCAGGGTGTGTGTAACCCCTGAGAAGGGTGGAGGGCTGTCTGTCCTGGGCTGGGCTGATGCCCATGTGGTACCCTGCGCTGGCCAGTGCTTTTCAGTGCTCATGCTGTCACTATCAGAACCACCTCATCACTGCCAGGCAGGCCTCAGGAGAGTGTACTGTGTAAGGGCAGATGCCTTTTGTTTTCCTTGCAAACTATCATGAAACTGAAATCTGGGCTAGCATTATTTTCTCTGAGTGTAACTATTATAAAATGTAGCTCATCTCCCTTTTGTCTTTACTTTGATATGTGTTTTTATTTTACCTGTTTTAAGGGTTTTTCCTTCCTTAATTCTTCTTTGGTGTGTGTGGGTGTGTATGTGTGTTGGCATGAATCACACAACCTCAGATCCCAAACCTTGTTTTTCCTTCTCCTGCCAGTTCCAACACCTTTTTTTTTTTTTCACTCTTAGCTTACTACTTCATGAATCTTTCTTCTCCAAGTCTCTGACTCATGCTCCATGCCAACCACGCTTTGTGGCCCTAAACCCTGGTGTGGCTCCAGGGAAAACCCTGAGCTCAGCCTGTAGAATTCGCTTTGCTCCCTTTCATCCAAATGTTCTCATCTCCCTTCTTTCCCCTTCCCTTCTCTCCCCTCCCCCTTTTCCTCCCATCTGCATCCCTTCCATTCATTTCCTTCTTTTTCCCTTCCCTTATCTCCCCTCCCCTTTTCTTCCTTCCCTTCAGATGTAAATAAAGCATTCTGCACAACCAACTATGGACAGAGAACTTGATAATCTTAGAGGGGTGAGAGATTGCTATGAAAGAGAGTATATAGTGAGACAGATACATCCATAAGCAGCTAAAACAGATCCGAAGTTTCCTAAATGTGTGAGAATATTCAGCAGATAGAGTTCTGTGAGTGGGAAAGAGGGAGTTGGGAATAGTTGGGAGGGTATTGTACTACAGGGGTTAAGCCACTGTCTGTGACTGAACCTCCCGTTTTGGGCTGAGTCCCAGGATGATCCACTTCCAGTCCAGCTCCTTACCTGGGAAAGCAGCAGAGGATGGCCCAGGTACACAGGCCCCTGCACCCATGTAGACCTGATGGAAGCTCCTGGCTCCTGCATAGCCCTGCCTGACTATTGCAGCCATTTGAGGAGTGAATCAGCAGATGAAAGATCCCTCTCTGTTTGCTATCCCTTCCTCACTCTCTGTAACTGTCCTTTAAAAAAATCAATTAATCAACTTTTTTTTTTTAATAAGGAATGGAAAGCCTTATAAGAAAGTGTAATTCTTTGTTCCAGAGTTATAACAGCATGGGACTCTGTCTTGCTAAGGCTTTGTCAAGTCTTACTCGCTTAGGCCAAGGTTATCTTTTCCTAACTGACCTGTTGTACCAGGAAGGCCCTCAGTAGGTGTAGGGACAAGTGTCCACTCTTGTTTCTGGTTTCTGCCTGATTCTCACTGTGGGGTTCTTGCCTCTCTGTCCCAGTCAGTGCACTGATGTGACCACACTCTGATAATCTTCTTCCCTTGGCTGCTGTGTGCATTTGCCTTGGGACCTGAGGAAGAATGGGAGATGGGATAGAAGGGGTTTATCTAGCTGAGATTCCAACAGGCAAGTACTCCAAAATTGCCCCAGTTGTTTCTGCAAATTCACAGATCCCATCAGCTAAGGTGGAAAAGAACTACACAAAGGCAGTGGTAAATAGGGTGGTTTCTGGCCTGTATCTCCTTGGCTGTTTTCTCAAGAGATAGAGCTAAGAAAAGCGGAAGTTGGTTATCAGCATGGTATGCAGTGTTTAAACATCAAGCCTCAGGTGAATGTGAGGGCCTTAACCCTTCTCCACTTACCTGTAAGTGTTGTTAACTTCTAACCTTTTGAAATGGAGCTGTTGGCTAAGTACCTGCTCATTGCGAAGTACTGCTGGAGGTCTGAGCTGGGGCTTGCTACTAACACTGAACACAAGGGCACGTCTTCCTAGAGTTAAACTCTCCTGTTGGTGTGGCACAATGGCTCAACTAACTAGTTCTCCAACTTCAAGTGCCATGTAAGCACCAGTTCAAGTCCCAGCTCTTCCACTTTTCATCTAGCTCCCTGCTTGCAGCCTGGGAAAGCAATAGAGAAAGGCCTAAAGTCTTGGGACCCTGCACCCATGTAGGAATCCTGGAAGAAACTCCTGGCTCCAGGCTTCAGATTAGCTCAGTTTCAGCCATTGCAACCACGTGGAGAATGAACCAGTGGATGCAAGATCTGTCTCTCCTCTCTGTAAATCTGCTTTTCCAATAAAAATAAACAAATCTTAAAAAAAAAATTTAAATGAAGTCTCTTGTTTAGGGAGAGTTGTTCATATTTCTTTCTTTCTTTTTTTTTTTTTTTAAGATTTATTTACTTTTACTGCAAAGTCAGAGATACATATAGAGAGGAGGAGACACAGACAGGAAAATCCTCTGATTATTCACTCCCCAACTGACTGCAATGGCCAGAGCTGCGCTGATCCGAAACCAGGAGCCAGGAACTTCCTCCAGGTCTCCCACATGGGTACAGGGTCCCAAAGCTTTGGGCCGTCCTCAACTGCTTTCCCAGGCCACAAGCAGGGAGCTGGATGGGAAGTACAGCTGCCAGGACTAGAAGTGGTGCCCATACGGGATCCTGGCACGTTCAAGATGAATACTTTAGCCGCTAGGCCATGGTGCCGGGCCCTGATGTGTTCATATTTCTACAACCTCATTTGGATCCATGTTACTTTTTTGAGTTTTTACTAGCATGGTTAATAGGTCATTTCATAGCTCTGAATCTGTTATATTTGTAGATCTTTTCTGGAAACAGCAAATCCTTCCAGAGAAAGTCACAAAAAAATGTTGGTTTTATAAAGTGAACTTTAGTAAAAGGCGAAAGATTTATACGATCTGAGGAGAAACCAGAGTATAATAAAGTGAACTTTAGGATAGGAGCAGTTGAAACATAGCAAAGTATATGAAATGAGTAATATTTTAGTACTGTGTACAGGTATTTATGTTACAGATTGGGTTCCTTGGGGAATAACATTTAATGCATGGTATTAGTAATACTGTCCTACAGAAGACAATAGTCGGTAGAGTGTTCAACAACACAGACGTGGAGCTTATGGTCTAGTGGGGGAAGAAAGATAATAACAAAGCAAACAACATAAAGCTAGGCAATTTTATATAGTAATAAGAGATGTGAAGAGAGTAAGAAACAAAGCAGGGATGGAAGCTCAGGGTGACCATGGTTTGAAGGATCTAAAAAAGCCCGGGAAAGCAGTTGAGGATGGCCGAAAGCTTTGGGACCCTGCACCCGCATGAGAGACCCGGAAGAGGTTCCAGGTTCACGGCTTTGGATTGGCGCAGCACCGGCCATTGCGCTCACTTGGGGAGTGAATCGTCAGACGGAAGATCTTCCTCTCTGTCTCTCCTCCTCTCTGTATATCTGACTTTGCAATAAAAATGAATAAATCTTAAAAAAAAAAAATTGAAAGGCCTGTGTGCAGACATCTGTCTGAGCTAAAATCCGATATACAAAAGACAGACATCAGAATTCCCGGGAGAAGTGCATTGCAGGCCAAACTCTAGTGACAGGAAAGAACTTGTGTTCCCAAAGAACTGAAATGGGGCCTATGCGTTAGGATTCCAGCTTAGAGGTAGGAAGGATGGGAAAGGGCAGACTGAACCTACATAGAGCATAGGATAAAAACCACAATAAAAAAGTCACATTGTAAACCCTGGCTAAAAGATGGCTGTGCTGCTAAAGCTAGCAGAGCCCTCAAAGCGGAGCTTCAAAAATAGATTTCATATGTATACGTTAACCTAAAATTACACTTTTAGTGGCATTTGCTATATAAAGCAGAGTCAAGTTTTAACTGTAACTATTTTTTTTCACAACATAGTTTTTATGTAACCAGGGGATGGTGGTGCTACTGGGACTAGAGGAAATTTTGTCTACTAATTTGAAAAGTAACTTGTACATTGTTCAATTTTTTTTTAATTAAAATCATGCCATGTATCTTTGTAAAGTAGTTGCTTTTTTTTCTCTCTTTGGTCTTCTAGTTTGCCAGGGTTTGGATCCCTGATCCAGAGGAAGTTTGGAAGTCAGCAGAGCTGCTCAAAGATTACAAGCCAGGCGATAAAGTCCTGCTGCTTCACCTCGAGGAAGGAAAGGTAAACATTCCACTTTTATTTGCTGTCATTTGTCAAAAACAGGAAGAATTCAAAAGTGTAAGTTGCTGGTCTAACTTTCCCCATTCAATGCTAAATTCTGAACTAATGTAGTGTTTTTCTTTTCTAAATTTACAAAATCAGCAAGCTCAAAGTGTTTTTTTTTCTATTTTTATTTTAAATTTTGAATTTTATGGTACAATTCTTATAATCTGGGATTTCCCCTCCCCACAATTCCCACCCCCAGACTGATTTTCCCTTTATTGTCACAACAGTATATTCCTTCATAAGGAGTTACGATTCCATCAGTTTGCTATTTAAGTGTGCCCCAACATTGCTGGTAAAATGTCAGACAGTCCATCATCCCATTGTGTAGATCTGTCCAACACTTTCATTGGGAGTCCATCTTTAATTTGGCAGTAGGGATGCATGCTGCATTGTGTCTTCACATCTGGACATGGTAGTTTCCATTACTCCATCACTAAGCTTTCCAATTTGCATGATGGTTTCCTTATATTAGAGAGAACATATGGGGTTTTTTTTGTTTGTTTGTTTGCAGGGAGCTGTATGGGAAGTGGAGCTGCTGGGATTAGAACCGGCACCCATATGGGATCCCGGGGCGTTCAAGGCGAGGACTTTAGCCGCTAGGCCACGCTGCCAGGCCCAGAACATATGGTTTTAAATAATCAGTGACATAAGTTAGTGAGAATAGCAGTACTCTAAAACTCCATTTTCTTGACCTGTGAATTTATTGTACTTATCAGATTTATATATTTTTCTAATGCTTGTTAAAAATATGCATGTTTCATTGAATTTAGTTTGGGCTAGTTTTAAAATCCTTTCATGTCAGCCAAGAAGACATCTTGTAAAACAGCTGTCTGATCAGGATTGGATCTTTGCTGCTATGGTATGAGGTACTTTATTAGTGACCAGAAAAACTTGAAGCCAGTTGTATCCCTGCGCTTCTGTCCTCATTCACAGTGTTAAGTGAGTCTGTCAGAGTTCTCTCCCTTTCATTCTCTATTGCGTGTACCAGGGTGATATCACCCTCTTTTCACTAAAACTTTTGCAACCTTAATTTCCTTTCAAGGACATATAGTATATTCAGGAAAGCTGGATATAAATAAATACATGAGAAGCTAAATATAATGAATGAGATAGAGATTATTAGTTCAACCTCAGGAGTCTGAATTTTTCAATAACTATGTATATGATTAGCTTCCACATGAGTAACTGTCTTTTAACAGTTAACATGAGTACCATGTGCCAAGTGACTTTCTGTCGGGATGTTCTTCCCATCTGGCAGATGAAGAAACTGAGGCTCAATGAGTTGCAGTAAGTTACTTGGGGTTAATAGGCATTAAAGACTAAGTTTATTATTTGAAGACAAAAGTGTATTATCTCAGGTCATAACCACTGTGCTGTACTGTAATAATGGTTAGGACTTTAGGATCCCAACCAGGAGAAATATCATGACCTGCCTTGTCAGGGAAGGCTTCAAGGTGGAGAATGGGTTTTGGCTGGATCTTCAAAGCAAAATGAAATTTGGGCTGACAAAGAAAAGGGGGTAGACTCTGTGAAGATCGAGATATGTAATGGAGATAATGAATATAACAAGTTGACTGGAGTAGATTTAGAAAGATGTATGTTATAGTTCAACAAATGCACTTTTTGTTGGAAAAGCAGATACAGAGAGAAAGACCTGTCCACTGGTTCATTTTCCAAGTGGCCGCAGCAATACCCATTGTGCTGTTTCCTCTAGGTGATGTGATGCATCTCCTTACTGCCTGCCATGCAATCTTGTATCTACATGCTGTAGAGTTACTAGTTACTATTTTTTCCTTTGTAATGAATGAGTATCATTGTTTTCAGGACATACTTTGAGGCTGCACGGTATTTCCCGTTTTTTTCTCTTGAGCTTTGCCTACTAATCTTAGTGTCTTTTGCTGTGTCTTACCTGAGCTAGGTATCATTGTTATGTTCCAAGATGTGCCTCTACTTCCATCCTTCCTTCCTTCTCCATTTATTAATTAGAATTAATCTCTATGGAAGTGCTGTCTGTCCCTCCTCCCCATTTGATTCAGTCAGTATGTCATAAGCGATCACATGAGTATATATTTTATTCTTTATTACCCTCATTATTTTATCAGTCAAATTGATAACAGCTCTGCTCCTCTGGAGTGACCTGGCTAACATCCATGAAAGCTCTGGACATCTCTAACGACTATATTCCTTGAGGCGCACTGCCACCCCTTTCTAATGCTATGTGAGCATTCCAAGTGCTCAACATTATAGAGGAGCACAAAAGGGAGAACGCAGTAAGGATTGCAAAGAAAGTGCAGGGAAGGTGTTCAGCTGGCAGACAGCAAGGGAACAAGCAGCTGTATATTGGTGGGACCAGCACAGGGAGCAGCCTGCCCTGGGGACAGATGTTGCACCTGGTAAACAGGCAGAGGGAAGTGGCAGCGAGCAGACCGCCAGCCTCTCGCCTTCAGCACCATTCAGCCCGAACAGCCTGCTTGGTGCACACATTGATAGGCTACCATGTATCTTTAGCATGGATAACACTGGCTTTGAAGAAAATTGCCCCTCCCTATAATTAATTGGCATACTTTTCCTTTCCACTTGTTCCACATGAAAAATAAACCATTTTCCCCCTCCTGTGCTCCCACACAACAATCAGCACAAGATGACTTCTGTGATTGCAGAAAATGTGGGACTTTCTCCCCACCAGCAAGGAAGCAACTGGTCTCTGACAGGCCCCAGATGGTGTCCTCTAACCAGCTCGGTTCTGACACTGTCTGCCTGGAGCTGACTGCACAGTTAACTATCAGTGTGGCTACCCTTAAGGGCCTTGAGCAGCTCATGAAATCCACAGACACACTTGCTACTTCCTGCTTTGTTATATAGGCTATTGCAAGGAATCCAGAGCGAGAGATGCATAGAAGGAGCTCAGATCTACCACACCCTTTCTAGGTGGGCCACCCTCCAGGAACCTTCCTGTTCTGCCTATGAAGACATCACTTCCTAGGCATCCTTGGTAATAAACAGATAAAGAGACCCAGCGAGGTTTTGGAGTCCGTGTTCTAGGTCTCTCTGCACGGCTGAGAGACATGAGGTGGCAGAATGCCTCTGGAATAGGAGAAGCATCTTGACTTGCCTTGGGGAAGTCAAAAAGAGATCCAGTTTGTATATCCTGCCTTGGAGGTGGGGTTATAAGAAGGAACTGTGAATGAAAATTAAAAATACATGTATCTATTGTCCTTTGTTATCTGTACCTTGTAGATACTTGGCCAACAGTTTCTATGATTGGCTGTGTCATAGAGTTGTATGCCCAGGACTTGAAAATGCACAGTGCTTTTTAATCTTGGAGGCTAGATAGTTCAGCAACATCTAACAAAACCTGTGGACTGTCTTTTCCAAGAAAGCACATATCTGCATATCATGTGCATGTCTGCACACACGTGTGGTGTTGTAGGTTATTTCAGTCCTTAGCCTGCCAAGGGTCAGGCGTTTCTGGTCCTTAGCACAGGCCAAGCATCTCATTTACTCATCACCACAACTCTTTTAAGCAGTTTCTGTTATACTTATTTTATAAATGAGAGACTTAGTTTAGATATCATACCCCAAACCCCGTAAAAAGTAGGAACTAGTGTCATGATTTGAACTTAGGTCAGTTTTACCATAGAACCAAGCACTCATTCTCTTTCTCTCCCACAATACTTATTTATTTGAAAGGCGGGGGGAATGGGAGGAGAGATCGAACTAGATTGAGAGATCTATCTGCTTTTCTATTCCTTTAATGGCCGTAACAGCCTGGGCTGGGCCAGGCCTAAACCGGGAGCCAGGAACTTCATCCAGGTCTCCTACATGAGTGCAGGGGCCCAGCCTCTTGGGCATTTCTCTGCTGCTTTCCTAGACATATAAGCAGGGAACTGGATCAAAAGTAGAGCATCTGGGATTTTAGCTGGCACCATAAAGGATATTGGTGTCACAAGCAGTAACTTTACCTACTGTGCCACAGCACTGACCACAGAACCAAGTTCTTGACCATTATTTTATATTGTTTGTCACTTAGCTTAGGTAAAAGATTAAATTTGTGGTCCAGTTGATAGGTAAAATAGCTCTAGTCTTGAATTTCTCAAACTATATGAGCAAGCATTGATAATACAAGTTAATGTGGCTCTTGAAAAAAGAAAACTCTTCCTTAATGCTTGCTATTTCCAACAGTTTCTGTGATAATGGAAGGTGCCAAGAGAATAGATTTAATCAGGAAAAGGAAATCTGCAAACTTAATGGACCTCTTTCACATTCATTGGTGCGACTTATCCAGATATTGCATCTTGTGTGTTTCCAGGATTTGGAATACCATCTAGATCCGAAGACAAAGGAGCTGCCTCACTTACGGAACCCTGACATCCTTGTGGGTGAGAATGACCTCACAGCCCTCAGCTACCTGCACGAGCCTGCTGTGCTCCACAACCTCCGAGTCCGCTTCATTGATTCCAAGCTTATTTATACATATTGTGGTAAGTATGTCCTGCTCTCTGAGGGCTGTGGACTCTCCTCCAGGGGCTACAGCTGTGGGAATGTGGTGTATGTGTTGTTGAAACAAACAGGCCAAGTTGGATTTGAAGCTGTGTGAAGGTTGGAACTTATATAATTTTATTCAGAATAAAAAGAACCGGGCCTGCCTTGTGCCTCCTGCTCCCCTAGCTCCATGGAAGCCACACATCAGATTCATCAGAAACCTACTGCCCAAGGAGTCAGCCTCTGATGGACTCGGTTGAAACTGAGTCAATATTTGTTGAACTTGTGTTATCAGATATGCACTTTAAAACTTTTAGGAATTAGGAAAAAAGTATAAAAAAATGAAGAATAGTAACTTTAATTTACCTCTGGAAATTTACCAGTATTCTGTATTTCTATTTTTCTGTGGACATGAGTGAGAGCATTATAAATATATGTGAAATTGGAAGCAGTGTATTTATAGTTGTGGTAGAGGTTTTTTAAAATATATTTATCTATTTATCTGTTTGAAAGGCAGAGCACCAGAGAGAGAGAGAGAGAAAGAGGGAGATCTATGTCTCCTGACTCACTCCCCAAAGGGCTGTAACAAACCAGGTGGGGACAAGGCTGAAGCCAGGAGCCATGAACTCTGGGTCTTCTACCAGATACATAGCAGGAACCAAGTAACTGGGTCATCATCTGCTGCCTTTCCAGTTGCATCATCAGGAGGCTGGATCAGAAATGGAATAGCTGGGACTGAAACTGGCATTCTGATACAGGAAGCTGGCATTGCAACTGGCAAATTTACTCACTGCACCAAAATGCTGGGGCCTCTGTATATAGTTTTGTATTGTATTTTTCCATATCACCTCTTGTACCCTAAAAACATAATTCATGGTTACAACAAATAATTTGTTTTGAGTATAACAAATTGTACTCAATTATTTTGTTTTTATTATAGTTTTAGTTTATTTCCACTTACACCTTTATGATAACTATCTTGAAAAAGAAGCCCTTTGTAAGAATGTCTGATTGATACATTTGAATGAATTTCTAGAAGTGGGCTTTTTCTTTTCTTTTGAATTTTATGGTATAATTCTATAGGGAGAAGTGGAATTTTTCAATTAAATATTATAAAAAGTATTTGTAGTTTTTATAGCACTCCTATCTGCTGATTGACTCCCCGAATGCAGGTAATGTCTGGGGTAGGCTGAGGCCTAAGCAGCAGTCAGGGTCTCAGTGTGGGTGACAGACCCAATCACTTGCCACCTCCTCCCAAGGACCACAACAGCAAGAAGCTAGAGTCAGGAAGGAGCTGGAGGTGGCTATCCAAACGAGGCCAGTTACCCACCCTCTGGTCCAGTTTCCAGATGGTATCTAATGGGTTCAGAAACAAAGGCTGGGCTATATCTTAGCACCTTGTTGGTTTAATATTTATTTATTTTGATGTTTACTGGCTGACTTCACGAGCTTTGAGTGCCCATTAGAATTTCATAAACAAGCAAACAAACAAATAAATAATTGCTTTGGTTCCTTCTTCCAGGTATCGTACTAGTAGCTATAAATCCCTATGAACAACTGCCCATTTATGGAGAAGATATCATTAACGCATACAGCGGTCAGAACATGGGAGATATGGACCCACATATCTTTGCAGTAGCTGAAGAAGCTTACAAACAAATGGCCAGGTGAGTAGAAGCTGTCAGCTGTCATTGTTACTCTATGGCTCTTGTAAGATGCAATCATGCCTTCTCGGATATTTTAGAGTGAGTGGCCAATTGTGAGTCATGAGTAAATAAACAATCTTGACCAATTTGTTTCAGATTGCCTAAATTACTATTAAATATTGAAATAACCTCACATTTATTAAAGGGCATATAGCTTTTAAGAACTGCGTTTGGAATCTCATTGTGATCCTGTGATAAGGCAAGGACGAATGTTGCATTTTTCAAATGAGAGAGGCAGGGTTTAATGGTGTGGCCAGGTGTTCCTCAGCTGATGAGTGACAGACTCAACCCAGTTTGCATGCTAGGGAGTGAATTTTCTTTCTTTTTTTTTTAAATCTTTTTTTTTCGCATTTTTAAATTTTATTTCTGAGAGAGTGAACTTTTAAGCAAAGTTTATATTGCCATGGCAGATTTCAGAGGACACCGGTGATGTTGAGCAGCATCTTCAAACTGTGTCTGATGTTAACCACGGACATAGACGTTGCAATGGTGAAGAAAGGAAGAAAAAGAAATACTTGTAAAATTAGATTATACTCATTTTATTCATTAGAAAGATTGACATTCAGAGACCTCTGGTCCTCTACTGGATCACTCCCCAAGTTCCTATGGTATTTAGAGCAAGCCCCAGCCAGGAGCCCTGACCTCCGTGCAGGCCTCTAGCTTGGATGGCAGGAGCCCATCGCTTGCTGCCTCCCAGGGTGTGCGCTAACAGGAAGCAGCAGTGGAGACAGTGGCTGGACTCCAGGGACTGCAACCCAGCTGCTCTGGTAGGGAGTGTTCCAAGCAGCATTCCTCACTGCCGAAATGCCCGCTCCCAGATTATGCTCTCAGTATAAGAAAATCTAGTATAATACAATATAATTTGAACCTTGGAATACGTAGAAAAATAATATATATAGTTCTCCAGACTACAAACCAGGACTCAGTTCATTGTAAATATGACATTGTTTACCACTAAGGAGAGAGAGAGAGAGAGAGAGAGAGAGTGTGTATGAGTGTGTGTGTGTGTGTCTGGTGTATGTTGGTTATACCAGCATATGACAGAATTTTAGAACTGTTCCAAATGACTGAGCCCATAGAAGTCATTCTGACCCTTTTAAATAGTGAAACTATATTAATGCTAATACTTGTAGTAGCAGCTAACAGTATATACTCACTCTGCAAGGCATTAGTTGATGATTTGCAATGTATTAGCTAATTTTATCCTGAAGGCAACCTATAGTTTGGCATTATTTTTAGTCTTTATTGTACAAATCACAAATAGCGCTCTTATCCAAGAAGGTCAATGATCAAATTCAGTTAATCTGATACTATAAAATATTGATATATTGGGCCTGATGTAGTAGCCTAGTGGCTAAAGTTCTAGCCTTGCACGCACTGGGATTCCATATGGATGCCGGTTCTAATCTCAGCGGCCCCGCTTCCCATTCAGTTTCCTGCTTGTGGCCTGGGAAAGCAGTAGAGGATGGCCCAAAACCTTGGAACTCTGCACCTACATGGGAGACCTGAAAGAGGTTCCTGGCTCCTGGCTTTGGATTGGCTCAGCTCCAGCCGTTGCGCTTACTTGGGGATGAACCATCGGACAGGAGATCTTCCTTTCTGTCTCTCCTCCTCTCTGTATATGTGACTTTCCAATAAAAATAAATAAATTTTTAAAAAATTGATATATTGAATATAAAATGACTAAACATAGTTTAGCTTTACATAATATGCCAAATTACCAAATTCAGCTATGGAATTCGTTTTTAAAGATTTATTTATTTGGAGTGCAGCACTGAGGCTTGCTTGGTTAATCCTCCCATTTTAAGAAACCCAGAAACAGCTCCTGGCTCCTGGCTTCAGATTGCCTCAGCTGTGGCTGTTGTGGCCATTTGGGGAGTGAACCAGCATAATTTCTTCCAGATTTCCCATGTAGGCACAGGATCCCAAGGCTTTGGGCCATCCTCTGCTACTTTCCCAGGCTACAAGCAGGGATCTGGATAGAAGTGGAGGAGCCAGGACATGAAACAGTGCCCATAAGGAATATCAGCACTTGGAGGCAGAGGATTAGCCAGTTGAGCCATTGCGCCAGCTTCAAAGGGACTTGTAAATACTAAAAATGATCTCAGGAAAAAATGTGTATTGCTTTGAAAATATTAAATATTTAGCTTTTACAGTCTTTGTCATTGGTATCTTTAAATGGTATCAGATTTATTCTTTGAAAATTTCTGGCATTTTACTCTTAGATTTATTTAGTTTTCTGGATCCAACCTCTGTTGCTTTTATGCCTGTGACTATCATACAATGTGTTTCTTAACTGAAAGCATTTTTATCTTTTTTTTTTTTTTTTTTTTAAAGATTTATTTTTATTATTTTTTTATTGGAAAGGCGGATATACAGAGAGGAGATACAGAGAGGAAGATCTTCCATCCGATGATTCACTCCCCAAGTGAGCCGCAACGGGTCGATACTATGCCGATCCGAAGCCAGGAGCCTCTTCCGGGTCTCCCACGCGGGTGCAGGGTCCCAAAGCTTTGGGCCGTCCTCAACTGCCTTCCCAGGCCACAGGCAGGGAGCTGGAAGGGAAGCGGGGCTGCCGGGATTAGAACCGGCGCCCATATGGGATCCCGGGCGTGCAAGGCGAGGACTTAACCATTTGCGCCACCGCGCCGGGCCCAGCATTTTTATCTTTTTATCTTTGCTTTTTTAAAAGGCAGTTTTAAAGAATGCTTCAACTTACTGGTTTATTTACCATTTATGAATAAATGTCCTCATAAAACTTGCCATAGCAGCTGAGCAGACCATGCCTGCCTAGGTTTATAGGTAGACATCTAAGCTACAGGGTCACTTTTTGGCCCTTTGTCTCTTTTCAGCTGCCATCTTTACCAGGTGTGAATTCTGGTGTTTCATGTTGCCGCTGTTCCTAGAGGTCTCCTTGTGTATTCAGGGAAGGCCAAACTCATCATTAGACCAGTAGAGACCTATTGAGCACATCCAAATGGCAGGCAGTATTCCCTGCAGAGGAAACAGTAGTGAACAGTTATGACAAAAATTCCTGCTCCCTGAACGAGGCTTGGTGAACTATAAAAACAAGTAAAACATGGACTGGTATTGTGGCACAATGTGTTAAGCCACCACATGCAATACCAGGTCCCATGTGAGAGTGCTGGTTTGAGCACCAGCTGCTCTGCTCCCGGTCCAGCTCCCACATGCATACCAGCAGGCATTGTTAGCAGAGTTTAGAAAGAGTATACATTATAATTATACAGGGAAAAGCAGTGATGGGGAAGGTAATTGGGGAGGGTGGAAGGAAAAATATGTGAACCTACGGAACTTAAGAAGAATAAATGAAAGAGAGGGAGAGAGTGAGAAAGAAAAAAGAGAGAAGAAGAAAGAAGGAAAGAAGGAGAAAGAAAAGAAGAAACGAATTGGTGAAGTCTTGCCTAGTCGGCTTATGAGAGATGAAAGAGAGTTGACGACAACAGCATGAATTTGGTCTGAACACCTAGCAGGTTGGAATTGCCATTTACCGATCTAGAGACTGTTGCGGGAGGAGCAGGAAGGTGTGTGTGGCATGGGGGAGGTGGGCAGTGAGTGGAGTTCCACTCTAGATCTTCGTGATTTGAATGGCACTTTAGACATCTGTCCTCGAGGCACAGCTAATACTGGAAAGTCTTCTGAGCGGGATTTTTGTCCAGTGACAGTAGCAGTAACCGGAATCCATAATTGATGACTACCATATTTAGATATTTAAGTGTCCATGTGATATCAAGCACGTTATCTCTAATCCTCATTATATTCCTGGAACAGACATCACAACTGCCTCACAGATGAGAAAATTGCAGACATTGACTTGTTGATGCCAGATGCCAGTTGATGGCATGCAGGGGCTGAGGTTAGAAGCTGGTTCTGAGACTTTAAGGCCTTTTTTCTTTTGTCATTTAGGTTTTTTTTTTTTAACCTTTCAGTTGTCTGGATCTATTCTAATAGATTTGTTCCTTCAATTAATATTGCCTGCTTTTGTGTCTGCACCTTAAAATTTTATCTAAGAGGCGGAGGTAGAGTCAGAATTTCCATCTACTGGTTTACTCTCCCTGAATAACTGTCTGGGCTGGGCTGGAGCCAGGAGCTAGAGGAGTAATACCCGTGCTGCATGTGGCTGGCAAGGACCCACTTACTTGAGCCAGCATTGCTGTCCTCTAGTATCTGCAGGTTTCCCACATGGTTGTAGGGTCCCAAGGCTTTGGGCCATCCTCAACTGCTTTCTCAGCCCGCAAGCAAAGAGCTGGATGGGAAACAGGGCTGCTGGGATTAGAAACAGCGACTGTATGGGATCCTGTGCGTTCAAGGAAAGGACTTTAGCTGTGCCGGGCGTTAGAGTAAAGTTTAATACCTCTCTCTGTCAACCCATACTAAATGTTCTTTTTTTTAAAAAAAAAATATTTATTTATTCTTATTGAAAAGTCAGATTTACAGAGAGAAGGAGGGACAGAGCAGAAAATCTGTCTGTTGGTTAACTCCCCAAGACACAACGGCCAGAGCTGAGCTGATTTGAAGCCAGGAGCCAGGGGTCTCTTCTGGGTCTCCCACATGGTGTACATGGTCCCGAGGCTTTGGGTCATCCTCTGTGTTTTCTCAGGCCACAAGCAGGGAGATGGATGGGAAGTGAAACAGCTGGGACAAAAACCAGCACCCATATGGGATCCCAGTACTTGAAGGAGGAGGATTAGCCAATTGAACCATTGTATTGGGTCCCCTGAATATTCTGTTTTTGAATGATTCCTCTCACCCCTGGCCCAGGCCTGGCTTTAGGTGTCTGCGTAGTTTAATTCCCATTTCCTCTTTCCACACAGCCTGATTTTCTCCACATTATCATAAATGAGTTAATTCAGTCATCCCTTGCCCTAGAAAGCCTTTCTTGTTATCTCCCCTTGTAGTTCCTTCTGGGTTCTTGTTCTTGAATGCTTTTATGGTCTCTCTCT